CGAAGTGCCAGACCCATGAGAAGTGAGCTAGGGACCATGTTCATGCAGCAGACGGAGGTCTTACACCCGGGACATGGGAGTGTGGCTGGGCCAGAGACAACAATAGAGCCTCATTGGCTCTGATTCCGGCATGGGGATTGGACTTGGCTGTCGAGGCAGGATTATTGAACTCTGTTAGTACGTCACAAACTGGAGTAGAAGTGGGATGCTGATAAACATAGACTTTACCTGGTCTTTTTATACTTTAACGTAAAACCTGTGTACCAATACGTTTGCCTTGGTTATAGAGAGGCAGTCTGAAACCTGCCTCCCTGATTTACTCAGATTGACTTACTCTTCTCTAGCACAAATGAAATCATCTGTAATTTTAATCACATGGCACTTTTATTATGCAAGGTTTTGCTGAGATACTCAGATGCTGAGTCAGATGGGCGTTCAGCCACCTTGTCTCACTGATCTGATACTGAGAGCATAGTGCCAGGGGAAATGCCCATCCGCTTTGGAAACCCCCTTTCCAGCTGTGCAGACCCGGGCCGGGGTAAATCCCCCCCTTTGGGTTTGGCTGCAGACCCGTTTCTGTTGGTACCGGAGTGTCGCACAGTACTGCTGCTGATGTGATTCATTTAGCTCACAAATGAGATGAAGAAAGAGTCAAAGTGGCACCAGCATGAGGCTGCGCTGGGCAGGAGGAACCCCATTATCATGGCTGTTAATCACCTGGGGGGGGGGCTTGCATGTGAGTAATATTCCTAATGAACTGGGTGGGGATTGCCCCCCCCACCATGTAACACCTTGGCCATTTTCTCTTGCGTGGGCATTAAACCTGTTTACTTATTGATTTAAAAAGTGTGATCCCATGAGACAGGTACCTGGCACTGCAGGACTCAGCAACGGTAGCCGGGGCTTTAATAAAGAGGATGTCTGTGTTAAAAACCAGCTCCTGGTTGCTTCTATTATGCTATTTCGGCGGGGGGGGGATTGAAGTTCTGTCTAATGGCACGCCTAGTTTAAGGAATGTTCTTACTTAAAATTACTTAGGATTAAGAGGCAGGAGGAAATTTTTTGTATTATTAAGTTGAAAAAGTTTTAAGGAAAAAAATAGTCACAGATGTTCTGTAGTCACCATGTGCCTTTTGTTGGATTAGTTGGTTATCTTGGGATTATCTGCTTCAGTTTGATGAAATTAGCTCTATGCCCAGAAGTATTGGGTTCTGCTTGGAGTGTCCTCACACACGGCTAGCCGTGCCCGTACCCTCTGACTGTCCTCACGAGCGGCTAGCCGTGCCCGTACCCTCTGACTGTCCTCACGCGCGGCTAGCCGTGCCCGTACCCTCTGACTGTCCTCACGAGCGGCTAGCCGTGCCCATACCCTCTGACTATCCTCACAGGCGGCTAGCCGTGCCTGTACCCTCTGACTGTCCTCACGGGCGGCTAGCCGTGCCCGTACCCTCTGACTGTCCTCACAGGCGGCTAGCCGTGCCCGTACCCTCTGACTGTCCTCACGCGCGGCTAGCCGTGCCCGTACCCTCTGACTGTCCTCACGCGCGGCTAGCCGTGCCCGTACCCTCTGACTGTCC